CTGTTCTATCCATTTTTGAAAGTGGTGTATTAAAATCACCCACTATTATTGTAGATTATTTCTTTCTTCAAGTCTATTAGAGTTTGCTTTATATATTTTGGAGCTCTTTCATTGAGAGCATAGATACTTATTATGGTTATGCCATCTTGTTCAATTGTCCCTTTAATCTTGAGATATTATCCATCTTTATCTATTATGCTGAGTTTTGTTCTAAAGTTTATTTTATCAGCAATTAGTACTGCCACTCCTGTTCATTTTTTATTGCAATTAGCTTGGTATATTTTTTCCATCCTTTGAGTTTTAATCTGTTTCTGTCTCTGTGTGTAAGATGTGTCTCTTGCAGACAGCAAATTGAAGGATCTTGTTTTCTTATCCATTCTGCCCCCTCTGTCTCTTAACTGGTGTATTTATTCCATTTACATTTAGTGTAATTATTGATAGGTATGGGTTAATTGCTGCCATTGTGTTTGTTTTTTGTGGTACTGCTGCTTTCTTTGTTCTGTTTGTCTTCCTGTGCTGAGTTCATGGTTTTTGTGTTCTTTCTTGTCAGTTTCCTCATAGTTTTAATGTACCCATGTTCTTCTTGGATTTTCCCAGTGTGGACTTTTGACAATGCCCTTTTCTCAGTCTTCCTTCTGAGGACTCTAACAATCTCTCTGACCTTCACTCAAACCTGTATCTAGTGCACTGATGATAGTATTTACAGCAGGAAATGTGCTCTCAATGGGTAAGTCTACAGACTGTCCATCCTTCCTTCTAAGTAATACACTGAGAAGCACACTCATTTATCCAATAAGCATAACACATCCAGTGTACCTACAACAGTGGGTGAAACCTAGAAACTTTCCAGAGAGGAGATTGTATGCCGGGGGTCTTGAGTCGGGGTCCCGCCTCAACAAAGGATCACCTTGGCAAACACAGGGTTTAACGGAAGTGAGATGTCTAGTAGGTGAAAGAAAAGACAGAGATTGATGCAAGCTGACAGGCAAGCTAGCACACCAAGCTAGCTGAGCCCCAGTCTTTTATTGTCAGAATAAGGAAATTGACACAAAAGAAAA